CCGCGGAGGAGGGGGAGGAGGAGCCTCAGCCTGGGCCTAGCCTGCCGCAGCCCCCTCGGCGGGCGTGGGGCAACCTGACGGGCGAGCTGGGCCGCTTCCGCGGCACCGTGCAAGACCTGGAGCGCCACCTGAGGGCTCATGGCTACCCCCTGCGGGCCAACCAGACCTACGCGTCGGTGGCGCGCAACATCCACGAATACTTGCAGCGGCGCCGGGCGGCTGCCGCCCCCGTCGGCTCCCCCGCCCCGTCGCCCCGTAGCCCCCACCCCACCGCCAGCCCCGACCCCGGCACCTGGAAGCGGGACTCCAACCAGGGCATCCACGGCCTCTCGCCCGAAGGCGTCGACCGGGTGGCCGCGCCCCGCCACCCCAAGCCCGAGGTGCTGGGCAGTTCCGCCGACGGCGCACTACTCGTGTCCCTTGACGGGCTCCGCGGCCACTTCGAGCGCGTGGTGCTGCGCTGGCGGCCCCAGCCGCCGGCAGAGGGCCCCGGCGAGGAGCTGACCGTGCCCGGCACCACGCGCACCGTCAGCCTACCTGACCTCAGGCCCGGCACCACCTACCACGTGGAGGTCCACGGGGTGCGGGCAGGGCAGACCTCCAAGTCCTACGCCTTCATCACCACCACAGGTAGCATGGGCTGGGGTCGCGGGACCACCCATCCCCTGCCCAGCCTCGCCTGCCGCTGGAGTCCGCATCCGAGAGTTCCGCCCACCGCCTCACTGCTCAGCCCACCACCCCACCCCCGCCACACCCCTCGGCCTTCAAGCACTACCCGGTCCAGCCTCCAGGGGACCCCACCGCAAAGCATGGCCTCCGGTGTCCCTAGAAGCCATCTCCACCCCAGGGGCCTCAGGGATACTAAGGGCTGAGGAGAACCGGTGTTTAGGGTTCCCCGGACACTTTGCCAGGATTGCCGTCCTGGGCAACGGAAGGGGCATTTGGGGGGAGGAGGCGGGTCTACAAAAACTCACTGGAGCAGTGTGAGTGGGGCAGCCGAGTGACACCGTCACTTCCGCACTCTGACTCACTGCGGTGAGGGTGGCTGAAGGCTGTGGTCAGTGGTTACTCTTTTCCACAATTTGGCCTTGACCTCAAAGGGACACATCAGAACTGTGTGGGGGTGGCCTTGAAGCCATCAGGCAGCTTGTGTCTGTGAGAGATGAAACCACTTCATGCTTGTCTCTTCCACAGGAGTGATGCTGGGCTCGGGGGAGGGGGCTCTCTGGCTGCCCTGGGGAGGGCTGTGAACCTGTTCTTTCCCCCCTAGGACCCAGATGCCACCTGAGCTGGATGTACCCACACACACACCCTCTCTCTTCCCTCTCTCTTCACTACCCACTCTTTCCTCGCATCTGCCTTCCCTAACAGCACCTCTCCCCCTTTCTTCCAGGCTTCTCACCGTGGCACTAATGGAAGCCACGATCACCACGGGGTGGGGGGTGGGGGGGGAGGGATGTGCTTAGGGAGGGCGGTGGCAGTCTGTGGGGGGTTGGAGGTTATAGGAGCCTTGTGAGGGGAGGGATGGCCGCATTTCTTTTAGTTATTGCCCGCAGGCCTGTCTGTTCAGAAATGTGGTGGGCAGGGGTGCTGGGAGGACTGGGCAGACCGTTGGGAGGATGTGGTGGCCCAGGGAGCAGACTCAGGAGCAGGGAGGGAGGGTCTGTAGGCTCTTCGAGGCTAGAAGGCAGAACCTGGGGGCTGGGATTTCCTTTCTTGCTCTCATTCTCGACTCTCCTGTTTTTCTCACCCTGCCCTTTCCCAGGGTCCTCTCCCTCAGGCCTCTTGGGGGCCACTGATGAGCCTCCTCCCTCAGGCCCTTCCACAACTCAAGGGGCCCGGGCCCCCGAACTGCAGCAGCGCCCCCAGGAGCTGGGAGAGTTGAGGGTGTTGGGCAGAGACAAGACAGGGAAGCTCCGCGTCGCTTGGACAGCTCAGCCCGACACGTTTGCCCACTTCCAGCTGCGCCTTCGGGTGCCTGAGGGGCCGGGAGCGCACGAGGAACTCCTGCCAGGGGACGTCCGCCAGGCTCTGGTGCCCTCACCCCCTCCTGGAGCCCCCTATGAGCTGTCACTCCGCGGGGTCCCCCCGGAGGGCATGCCCTCTGCCCCTCTCATCTACCAAGGCATTATGGGTATATCCTGCACTGCTCAGCTCAGTGTCCTGAGGATGGGGGAGGGGCTGGGCCATCCGGGCTTCAGAGGTGGGGTGGGGATGGAAGGGCTGGGCCAGTGTTTGGGTTGCAGTGGTTAGAGCAAACGAGAGAGAAGGTTGGAGTAGAAGGTTCGGAGGAAAGAGGAATGGAGGGAGTCTTAGAACAATGAAGGGGAAAAGAGGATGGGAGGAGAAAAGTCAGAGGGTGGGGCAGGGAGTCAGAAAGAGAGTCTGTAGGCTTCTGGCTTTCCACCAGCAGCTTTCTTTGCCCTGTGTCCTCCCCAATTCCTGGTCACTCATAGATCTCTGCGGGTAGGCGTGGCAAGGCCTCTAGCCCTGAGGGTACTGGCCCTTAGCCCCCTCTTCCCCTTCTCTTCCCCGTAGCCCCACCATCCCCTCACTGGGCAGGCTAGGACGGTGGCCCCCCCACCCTGGGAGGCTGGCCGCAGTGGACAGCGCTGCATGGTCCTACCACCCCGTTTCTGCTGGGGATGGAGGTTCCTTAGCATAGGGAGCTTCAGAGATGGGTGAGGTTGGTGGAACCCGTGAAACACTCACTTTCCCTCCCGGTCCCTCCTTATGGGACTCGGGTAGCTGCTCTGCCGGCCACTCCAGGTCAGGCTCAGCGCTAGGAGAGCAGGTAGCGAGGGAGAGAAAAGTCCAAGTGGGTGGAGGAGTCTTCAGCTGCTCCAGAGCAGCAGTGAGGAGGTTCTGACTCAGGAAGAGCCGGGGGGGGGACCTGAAACTCCCCCAAAGCTCTTGATGTGGAGAGGGACTGGGCTGTTTGCGAGGCGTGGGGAAGCCAGCAAAAGGGAAGGGCTAAAGCTCTCACCGCAGAACAAAGAGGGCTGCTCACAGAGGCCTGGGAGGGGAGGAAGGGGAGGCTTTGAGCAACGGAGCTGTCCAGGAAGGAGGGACCCAGTGGGCTGAGGAGAGGGAAGGAGACCAGAGACGAGGCAATGGTTGAGTCCACCTGCTTTACTTTTGCCCCCACATTCCAGACAAGGATGGGGTGAAGCTTGGGAAGCCCTTGGCCCCACCACACCTGGGCCAGCTGATAGTCACTGACATGACGTCCAACTCCCTGCTCCTGCACTGGACGGTCCCCGAGGGTGAATTCGACTCCTTCGTAATCCAGTACAAGGACAGGGATGGGCCCCAGGTGGTACCTGTGGAAGGATCCCAGCGCTCAGCCCTCATCACCAACCTGGACCTTGGCCGCAAGTACAAATTCCTGCTATATGGGCTCCTGGGCAAGAAGAGGCATGGCCCCCTGGTGGCTGAAGCCAAGATCCGTGAGTGAGAACAGTCACACCGACCCCTACCCCTGCCCCCTGCATGGTCTTGAAGGAGGTCCTCCCAGTGCTTTGGGAACTCCAGGAAGGCTTCCTGGAGGCATTGGGGCCTGAGATGAATCCTGAAGGGAAAATAGTGGTGGGTCAGGCAGAGAGGTTGGGGAGGGCAGTGCAGACAGAGGGAGCCATGGAGAGTGAGGCAGGAGCGAGTGTGGCCCTGGAGGAGAATCTGTCTGTTTCCTCTGGATGGAGAGCAGGGCACCTGGGGAGCTGAGGGGACTGGGCTTGTGTGTGTCTGACTAAGGAGCTTGGAGCTCATGTGAGGGTTGTAAGTGGGAATGACATGATTTGATACTTATCTCACATAACACTGGGGCTGCTGCAGAGTGTAGCTGGAGAAGTGAGTTAAGAGCCAGCAAGCAATGATGCTAGCCTGCCTGGGATGGAGGCAGTGAGGCTGGATGTGGCAGGTGAAGGACAATGAGGAGGCCCAGGCGCTCCCCTGTTTCTAGAGCAGACAGTCCCGTGCCCTGAGGCAAGGAAGAGCGGAGGTGAGGACCAAGCACAGCTTGGGACACTTAGATAAACCTCTGTGGAGCATTTGTTAACAAGATTTTCTCAGTGTATCAGCACACTTACTGGCTACAGCAGCCCCGTGAGGCGCGCCCGTTTATAGATGAGGAGAGTCCGGGCACGGAGATGGGGAGGGCACTTAAGCAGAAAATGGCGGGGCCACGGGGTGATCACTGCTGCCCTCCCAGGTCTGGAGAGCAGAGAGAAGGCCTGAAGAGGGGACCTGGGAGACAGGAGCTGGGGTGAGGGTGTGGGGGGAACAGAGACGCTGGCCAACACTCAGGGCATGGGCAGAGGAAGAGGAGCATGCAGGGTAGCCTGAGGGGGTGACTCACGGAGAGGGGGCAGCGAGGGAGAGTGGTGTCCTGGATGCCAAAATGAAGGGCGCGGTCAGACATGTCAGATTCTGTACGAGTGAGTCCACAGGACTTAACAGTGGCGAGGTCACTGCTGGCCCGGTTGAGAGCTGCCAGTGGAGGGTGGAGCTCGATCGAGAAGGTGATGGACGTGAGGACATGGCTACAACCAGTGTAGACGGCTCTTTCTGGAATCTGGGCTGGGACTAGAGAGCAAGGAGGGTGGGTAGAGGATGGAGGGAGCTAGTGGCCAAGGGGAGGAGCTCCTGCAAATGCCAGGGGGCACAGTGGTGGGGAGTGAAGTGTTGGTGGTACAGGGTGGGAGAGAAGGAGGTGGGGCCCCCGAGCACAGGTGTGGGAGGCTCTCCTGCATTCAAAAGTTCCAAAGATGGTGCTTCCCTCTCTTGGAGGAGAAGCGAGCTCGTAGTTAGGTCTGGAAGCAGTAGAGATTGCCCTGGGAGACTTCCCTGGCTGTGGAGACACAGAAAGAGATGGCTGGGCTCCCTTCTCTCCGAAGCGCCTCACTAGGCTGCAGAGTCAGGGCCACACTAGTCCATACGGTGCTTCTGCGCCCTGTAGAAGGCACCCTTCCTTAGGTGAGCATAGCTCTGTGCCAGGGCACACAGTTTGGCAAGCAGAGGGTGGCTGCATTTCAGTCCCTCAGTGCTCCCTCAGCCATGCGCCTTTGTGCAGTGAACAGCCTGCACAACCTCACACAACATCCCTATGTGGGAGATGGAGCCCCCCTCTTCCTTTGACCTGTGTTCCTCCTTTCTCTCTACCTCTCCTCCCAGTGCCTCAGAGTGATCCCAGCCCAGCGACTCCACCCCGCCTCGGAAAGCTGTGGGTGACAGATCCCACCCCAGACTCACTGCACCTCTCCTGGACTGTCCCTGAGGGCCAGTTTGACTCCTTTGTAGTCCAATATAGGAACGGGGAAGGACAGCCCCAAGCGATGCCCGTGGAAGGGCCCGAGCGCTCGATCATTGTCTCCTCGCTGGAGCCTAACCACGAGTACAGATTCACTCTGTTCGGGATTGCCAACAAGAAGCGGCATGGGCCCCTCACAGCCGATGGCACCACTGGTGAGTGGCAACCACCTAAGCCCCCATGTGACCCTTCCCAGCCTTCCCCACACTTGCCCTCAGCTGGGAACCGGGGGGGCCTCCCAGTGTGATGGCTGACTCCGAGTCCTGGCCCCGCTCCCAGGCTGAGGGAGAGCCAGCCTCCCCCATCCTGCTAGGGCCCTTCCATCCCATTCAGCTGCTCCCCAAGGCCCAGAAGATGTGTCATACCCTGGCTGGGCCAGACTTCCCAGGAGGTCAGCACTCCTAATTGATGCTAACTGAATAGTGACCCCCGGGTATGATGGCCCATCCAAACCCTGAACCCCAATCTGAGGCTGCCAGTACAGCCCTCACTGGATCCTCTTATTTACAGCCTCAGAGCAGACAGCGGAGTCCCTCCACCCAGAGGCCACAGTGCAGCCCCTGCTGGGGAAGCTGTGGGTGACTCAGGCAAACCCAGACTCCCTGCGCCTGTCCTGGACCGTGACCCAGGGCTCCTTCGACTCCTTCGTGGTCCAGTACAAGGATGCGCAGGGCCAGCCCCAGGCGGTGCCCATCAGGGGGGATGAGAACGAGGTCACCATCCCGGGCCTGGAATCCCACCGGAAGTATAAGATGAACCTCTATGGGCTTCATGGCAGGCAGCGTGTGGGACCTGTGTCCATGGTGGCCACCACCGGTGAGTCAAGGCCTCCCAGACCTCCCTCTGAGTAGGACCTGGCCCAGGGGCTCCTTCAGACCTCCCTCCACCTTTTCCTTCCGGGCTCCAGTCCTGTCAAGCCTCTACCCTCTACTTCCCCACATCCCAGGACCTCTCATCCAGCCACCAGCCCCTGGCCTTTTTCTCAGCCCTGCTTCTCCATCTCCAAGAACAAGTCCATTTTCCCCATTCCAAACATCTGGAACACCTCCACCCAGGGCTGTCCTCCCCACAGATATCCTCAGCCACTGTGTTCCTTCCCCTACCACAGCCTGACTGAGGCTGCAGTCATTTCCGGCTTCCGCCACCAGCTGCCCGCACCCTCCCACCATTGCTGCTCGGCTCAGAGTCCACAGATCCAAGGCACAAGAGTCCCTCCTTTCCCTCAGCTTCTTTCTGGCATGAAAAGGCCTCATCCCGGACCCCCAAATCCCTGACTCCCACCAACTGGGAGCAGGGCAAAGGGCCCCATTTCATTCCTCCCACCGCCCCTCATTCCTCCACCTGTCCAGGCTCCCTCTGGTCAGCACCATTTCTGTGGTTGTGTAGCCTCCTGGTTGGGAGCACAGGCTGTGGATCCAACTGCCTGGATTTTAAGCCTAGCTCTGCAATTTACTACCTGTGGGACTTTGTGTAAATTACTGAACCTCTGAACCTCAGCTTCCTCATCTGTCAAATGAGGATAATGGTACCTGCTTCAGAGCCATTAGCATTAAATCAGTCAGTGTACAAACATACATGCTTAGAACAGTGCCTGGCGCATCAGAACCACTGTTCAGGAGCGAGCTGCTATTTCTCCCTGACTCTCTCCCTTCCCGGTATCCTTTTCTTGTCCTCATCTCCCTACCTTGCCCACCCTTGCATGCTCCGTCTCAGTCTCCTGTCCCCTGAGTAGTACTCCAGTAGTACCCCCAGGGAGTGGGTCACAGAAGCCAGTCTCCCTTCTCCACGGAGCCTCAGCAAAGACCGAGTTGCCAGACGGTGGATAGGTGTTCCCGGGGCTGTGATTCTAGATGCAGCCAGGGAAGAGCGTAGCCTTTCCCAGCCCCTCCACCCCCACATCTTTCTCCACCCTTGTCTGAAGAGGAAGGAGGGGCCGGGCTGCCCAGGGAGGCCTTAGCCAGGGCACATTCTGTCTGGTGCCCTGCTAAGTGGGGTGGGGGCCACTGAGAAACCCTGGGGAGGTGCTGGAGCTGAAAGGGAGGAAGGCAAACTGGAAGAGGCCTTACTGCCCCCTCGATTTCTAGAGGTCAGCCCTGTCTGTGGACAGGTAGAAAATTCCTCAGAACTTCCTCTCTTCCCACCTCAGCTCCTTTCTCAGACATGAGGGGAGACCCCGCCCCCGACAGAAGACACCAATACGGTCCTGCCAGCAGTACCTGACAGGGGCCAGGGGCCTGTCTCAGCTCTCTCCCACGAGTTACTGAACGGCTAATACAAAGACTCCCCGAACCCCAAAGACTGCAGCCTGAGAACTTTATTTGCTGAATGTACTTTATTGTCGTAATTAACCAACAAAGCAAGACACACCGCAAGCCTGTATCTCCCATGTCTTCTCTCAGCCCCCCAGGACCTTGTGGAGGAGACTCCCAGCCCCACAGAACCCAGCACGGAGGCCCCGGAGCCCCCCGAGGAGCCCGTCCTGGGGGAGCTGACGGTCACAGGATCCTCCCCAGACTCGCTGAGCCTCTCCTGGACCGTCCCCCAGGGCCACTTCGACTCCTTCAGTGTCCAGTACAAGGACGGGGACGGGCGGCCCCAGGTGGTGCGTGTCAGAGGTGACGAGAGTGAGGTCACCATCGGGGGCCTGGAGCCGGGGCGCAAGTACAAGATGCACCTGTACGGCCTGCACAGGGGACAGCGCGACGGCCCCGTGTCCACCGTGGGCATGACCGGTGAGTGGGGGCGGGGACCTACTTCCTTTTCCTCCCACCGGTGGCCCCCAGCTTCCCCGTGGCCATGGCTCTCCCTTCTGTAGTGGTAGCATGAGGCCCCCCACTGCTTGGGGGAGACCCAGAAAATACAGTTCACTGGGGACCGGGCTATAACCAGCTTTGTGACCTTGAGCAATTTTAAACTTTCTGTGCCTCTGTTTCCTCAGGCATAAAAGGAGGATAGTAACAGCCATCCCGCAGAACTGTAGTGAGGATTAAATGAGTTAACAGACATGGAGCACTAAGAAAGGGTCTGGCACAGAGGGCACATGCTGTCAGCATTGCCATAGGATGATTATAATTGTCCTTAGTCTGGAGTCTGCTCTGCCCCCATTTGGCTGGTTCCTCAGCTGGGGCTCAGCTGATCAGAAGTGCATGAGACATCAGCCTCTTCATCAGTGTAGCTGGAAAGTTTCTTTACCGCTCATCCAGTGAGTGACTTTATAGCAAAGAGGGACATCCGTTCCATCCCCTCTCTTGGGCCCAGGTATGGGGCCATCTGGCACCACAAAGGACCCAGCCCGGGGATCTCCTCTCCAGAGCCTCAGCATCAGGGGCCAGAACCGAGACAGGCCTCTGGGACTTGGGACTCTCCTGCTGACCTGCCCAGCTTGGTCACAGCAAGGGGCGTCTCTTTTCCTTTGCTCAAAGACACACCTTTTACTATAAGGGGAAAGATTAAAAACTTAAAAGCAGAGATACAGGTTTTCAGAGCATGGTTCCTGTACTTCCACAAAGCCCAACCTCATGACTGGCTTAGTTTCCAGAACCTTCTACTCCTAATTTCTTTTTGTTCCTCCATTAGTACTGAGAGTAGGGAGAGGAGAAAGCCACCCCGAGTTACTGTCCTGCGGGCCTGAAGTAGCAGGGTGGAGGCTCGTGCCAAGCCCGCACATGCTGCCAAGGTTTCTCTTAGGGTGCCCCTCCATCTGCTCTCTGTCCCAGGCAGCCACACTGGGCTCTGTGAGGTCCTGTCCCTGGTCCCCAGGGAGGAATGGACTGTGTTGGGCACAGACTGAGGCAGTGCAGTAACGGAAAATGGAGTTGAGCATTTGACAGACTGAGTTCTGTTTGTGGCTTCTCTGGTTCTCAGCTTCAGGATGGAGCATGGTGTTCATTGTCAGAGCAGGCAGGTGATGGGCAGCTGGAGCCCGCTGAGCTGCCCCAGGGGCTGTGCCCAGCCCGCGGCACGTGCTCTCCCATTGCCAAGGGAAGAGGTGGATACAGCCAGTGAGAAACATTTCTAGAGTAGAGAAAGATAATGTCAAATGCAGCATGCGCAGTGCCATGTTCGGGGGTAGTGATAACTCCACGTTTTCCAGTTAAATCAAGCCCCAGCAATGAGGCTTGTTGGATGGTGAGGGACAGTTTCTCTTCCTCATGGGAAGAAGTGCAGAGAGGGCGGAAGTGAGCAGGAAGTGGGTGAGACAAGAGCGAGCAAAGCTAGAAGGAGCATGGGACACTGCTCGTAGACATTTGATGACATGGCGGCCTCTCCTAGCCCCCCTCAGCCGCCTTCATCCCTGCCCTCCCCTCAGACTCAGGTCTGTCTTTCTGAGGCCTCCCAAACAGGGTTTCATCTGTCTAGCCTGGTCTTATGCTCCCGCAGAAGCCAGAGAAAACAGCTCTTGGGAGCCACACCCACCCAGCCACCTCCGCCACTGTCTTACTTCTTGGGACCACCTTCCAAGTTTGGTCCCTACTGAGGAGTGCCCCCCAGACTTAGCTGAGTTGGGGGGTGGGGCCCACTGGAGCCCGAGCTGGGACTTTCCCAGCCCAGTCATGCAGACCACTCATTAATTGAACGACCGTTTGTGGGGGCACCGCTGTGTGCTGGGCGCCGGGGACACAGCAGCGAGCAAGGCAAAGCCCCTCCCCAGGGAGCACACGTTCTAGCAGACCGCACAAATCTGTCTGTGGGACCGTCTCTAATAACAATGAGACCTGGAGAAAAGCAAAGTCCAGCAGGTGAGACAGTGAATGGGTGGGAAGGACGTGGGAAAGGGCCTCTCTGAGGGAAGACCTGAGGAGGGACAGGACAAGGCACATGTGCCTTTGGGAAGAATATCCGGGCAGAGGAAAGTGCCCTGACCCTCTGTGCACAAGCCAGGAATGTCTGGAGTGGGGGGAGCTATGTGGGAGATGATCCTGTGGGACCTCAGAGGCCCCTGTAAGAACCTGGCTTTTGCCCTGAGTGAGATGGAAGTCCTTGTGGGAGCAGGCTCTGACTAATGTGTTCACGGTGGATCGGAGCGGGTGGGGAGGACAGGGAGGATTTAGGAGACCCATGTAGTCCAGGGAGACGGGTGGTACCTGGAGATGGCGCCAGTGGAGTGGAGTTAGCAAGGTGGGGTCAGCTTCTGAAGGTCGTGCCAACAGTCCTTACTCATGGGCTAGATGTAGGGTGTGAGGGGACTCGGGGACGACACCCAGGGTGAAGTGGTGGCTTTACTGAGGTGGGGAGGCCGTGACGGAGCAGGCGTGGGGGGAGTCCCTGAGCTCGGTTTTGAACTTCATGAGTTTGAGCCACAGACCAGGCACCCAAGGAAGATGCCAGGCAAGCACGAGTCTGCGGGTCCTGGAGGAGGGGACCATTGACCTACAGATGGACGTTCAGCCACTCTCCCAGGGTCTCAGTGACACCCATCCCCAACCCCAGCACAGCCCCCAGTCCTGGCGGGGACTTAGCGAGGGCTTGTGGCCAGACAGATGTTGCCAATCAGTGTAGTTTTACATCGGAACCACCTCGTGGGCACCACAAAAACAACAGACATAGTTACTAACAAGGGAAAGAGGGGCTTTTCCTAACGGCCTCCCACCATCTCTGTCTCAGCTCCACAACCAGAAGAGACTCCAGCCATAGAGCCGCCCCTAGAGCCACGCCTGGGAGAGCTGACAGTGACAGATGTGACCCCCAACTCCATGGGCCTTGCATGGACGGTCCCTGAGGGTGAATTCGACTCCTTTGTGGTCCAGTACAAAGACAGGGGCGGGCAGCCCCAGGTGGTCCCTGTGGAGGGCAGCCTCAGGGAGGTCACCATCCCCAGCCTGGAGCCTGCGTGCAAATACAAGATGAACTTCTACGGGCTACATGATGGGCAGCGCGTGGGCCCCCTCTCTGTGGTAGCTGTGACCGGTGAGTGAGCAGGGGTGAGGCAGTTCCCATCCCTGGTTACCCAGAATCCCCCCGTCCCACAAACCCCCTCAGGTCCTGCCTCGGTGGCCTCCATAAGTCCTTCCTGAGGTCACAGTCAAGGCAGTCTGTTCCCTGACCCCTTGACTTCTTCCCCAGGCTAGAATCTTCCCTGCCCTCCAGTTCCTCTCCATTCTGCCCTCTCCCTCAGGCAGGAATGTCTTGCCTCCATCTGACCTAAATCTGACTCTGTCTGTCTCCCCTGATTGTCCACAGCTGTTCCCCTCCTTTCTCTCAAAACCCTGCTGTGACTTGGCCACAGCCGCCACCTTCCCCTGATGTTCTTTTTTAGTTGGGCTTCAATGACACACATCCCTTGAATCTCTTAGAGATTCTTTAGTGCCTTGAGTGCTATAGCCTTCCTTTCTCCTGGAAGTGGCCCTTGCTCTTGGGTCCCTGGGGACAGGTTGCTGCCATTTTTCTGCCACAGTATCTGATGAAACCCACGGACCCCTCTCAGAGCAGGGCTTTAAAATCTATAACGTAAATGCATAGGGTTACAGAGGAAACCAATTTATTTGATATTCAATTATAAAAACATATTTTTTTAAGATTTTATTTATTTATTTGATGAAGAGAGACACAGTGAGAGAGGGAACACAAACAGGGGGAATGGGAGAGGGAGAAGCAGGCTTCCTGCGGAGCAGGGAGCCCTATGTGGGGCTTGATCCCAGGACCCTGGGGACCATGACCTGAGCCGAAGGCAGACGCTTAACGACTGAGCCACCCAGGCGTCCTATCAAAATATTTTTAATTCAAATTTATGATTTAGTAATACAGGAACTTGTTTATCAGTTCATTAAATAATGAGACTTAGGGGCATGTGTCATAACCTACACACATTCCGAAGTACGGATGAGGGTAAACGGTATTTTGGAGTCTGCGCAGCCATTCTAAGGTGACACGAAAATGGTCCCAGGTATGCTGGCACCGCGTGAGCACCCGAGGAAATCTACCTTTCAGTTAGAGGCAGGGAAAATACAGATGTGACTGTGTCTCATCTTATTTCAAGGTCCCCTTGAGGCCCTGGTTGCCCAGGAGCCCTTCAGGGTCAGGGGGTTCTCCTGCCCAAGATCTCAGCCATGTTCTATGTTTTCCTGGGTCCTAGCTCCCCTCCCCCCAGCCCCAGGCACAGAGTCCCCCGAGGAGCCACGGCTGGGGGAGCTGACAGTGGTGGACCTGAGCCTGGACTCCGTGACCCTCTCATGGACGGTTCCCGAGGGTGAATTCGACTCCTTCGTGGTCCAGTACAAGGACAGGGACGGGCAGCCCCGGGTGGTGCCTGTGGCCGCAGACCAGCGCGAGGTCACCGTGTCCGGCCTGGAGCCCAGCAGGAAGTACAGGTTCCTGCTCTACGGACTTCAGGGTGGGAAGAGACGCAGCCCAGTCTCTGTGGAGGCAAAGACAGGTGAGAGTCCCCCAGGCCCCCAGCAGCCTGCCCACCCTCTTCACACTGCTTAGTCTCTTTCCTTCTGCTGGTCTTCCCTGTGTCCACCTCTTCTGTTTCGTTTGAAAAGCCACACTGCCTGCCCCAGTTCAAGGCAAATGAGAACCAGGAAAGCAGGGCCAGGTCCTGGGTCTGTGCCCCCCGCTGACTTTTCCTCTCTTCTCATAATTTCCACTGCCATTGAATGGGGGAAGCCCCTTCGGGGCCCTTCCTGGAAGGTGGGACATGGGAGACTGGGGGTGCTGGGGGAGGGCGAAGGGAGTCAGGAGCCCTTTCTGCCGGCCTGGGCCTTGCAGCCCTCAGCCTTGTGCAGCCCTTACCTCCTGAGAGTTTTGCCATCACCCACTTTCTTATCCTACTGGCTCAGGCCCATTGGGTGCCCTCTCTGCCTCCCCTAGAGGGCCCTTTTCCTCCTGTGCCCTCTTCCCGGAGCCTCGGAAACTGGGAAGCAGAGGAGCCCAGGGCTGGCTGCCCAGCCAGGCCCGTTCGGGCCCAGCCCAGCTGTGCCCCTTTCCTGGCTTTCAGTCCAGGCCCTCCCCTGCCCCTGGGGGCTCCCTGATGCCAGAAAACTCTAGCAATAACAATGCTGTCAGCGTCCTCTCTGGCCAAGAAGGCAGCAGGCCAGCTCCTTCTCAAGCCTCAGGATGGCTCTGGGCAGACACCGGATCCTTTCTCCAAGTGAGCTCCCCTCCTCCTCCCCCCCACCAAGTAGGCAGCCCCCACTCCTCCCCCGGGCCCTGTGAGGGCCACCTCCATCATAACATCCCACTTTCTCCTCTGCTGTCTACACTCATCAGGGATCCTGGGCCCCCTCTGATGTCCCCAGGACCCTCAGATTTCCCTAAGGGCCAGAGAAATCACAAAGGGTAGGCTCCTTGGTAAAAGGAAATAAGCAAACCAAGCTACACCCTGATAGGAAAATAGTCTCTAATAGGTGGGAAGAGTCTTGATAGCAGTAGGAATAAGATAAGCAGGAAACTAGGGATTCTTTTTTCCCAGAGATGTCACATCGGCTAAGTGGAGGGAGGCATGGGCCATTTGGGATGGGAGGGTGATGGAAATATTTTGGGGAAACACTGATCATTTGGGCAGTCCTGGGTTTTTCCAATTCTAGTAGGAAGCAGTCAAAGAGTCATTCTGGAAAAAAATAAACACAAGAATCTTTCCTCTCTGTCAGCTGCCCAAGGTGACGCCAGCCTCGGGGCCCCACCCCGCCTTGGGGAGATGTGGGTGACAGATCCCACCCTGGACTCTCTGCGCCTCTCCTGGACAGTCTCTGAGGGCCACTTTGACTCCTTTGTGGTCCAGTTCAAGGACAAGGATGGGCCCCGGGTGGTGCCCGTGGAGGGCCACGAGCGCTCGGTCACCATCACCCCTCTGGACACTGGCCGCAAGTACAGATTCCTCCTTTATGGGCTCCTGGGCAAGAAGCGCCACGGCCCCCTCACTGCTGAAGGCACCACAGGTGAGAGCGTCCGTGCAGGGCCAGGCTCTGGTCCTGGAGCCCCCCGGGCACGGCAGCAGCACCCAGCCGGGCCGGGGAAGCAGGTGGCCACTTGTGCCGGCTGCCATCACGGTAGTTACTCTCCTCACGCAGTCCCATAGCACTGGCCCTGTAGGACTCAGCCGTGGCAAAGCCCTGTCCCCAGACCTCTCAGTCCTGCCCTTTGAGGTCACCCAGACTACCAGAAACAGCTCTGCTGCCCCCTCTCTGTCTCCCTCTCAGAGCCCTGGAGTGGTGTGGACGATGCTAGAACAAAGCACCCCCCAAAGCCCCATCTTGGGGAGGAGCTACAGGTGACCAGCGTGACACCAGACTCTGTGAGCCTCGCGTGGACGGTCCCTGAGGGCCAGTTTGACTCCTTCGTGGTCCAGTACAAAGACAGGGCCGGGCAGCCCCAGGTGGTCCCGGTGGAGGGCGGCCTCAGGGAGGTCAGCGTCTCAGGCCTGGACCCAGCCCGCAGGTACAAGCTGCTGCTGTACGGGCTGCACCAGGGCAAGCGCGTGGGCCCCGTCTCCGCCGTCGCCTTGACTGGTGAGTGAGGCTGTGGCCAGAACATGCCGCCCTCCTGCCGGCTGCGGCCCTGCTGCTCTGACCGAGCCAGGGGGGTTCTGAGCTTCCTACTTCCCTCCTTTAGGGGGGGGATAGCCTCATCGAGGCATAATTCACGGACAATTTTATGTGAACAATGAGTTTTGGTAAACCTGTAAGTCATGAGACCATTACCACAAATGAGACATAAAACATTTCCACTGACCCCACAACCCATTTCCCCATGCCCCTTTGCAGTCAATTCCCCCAATCCCAGCTTCTGTCGGCCACTAATTCCTTTCCTTACAGTTTTGCCTTTGTAAGCCTCTCACTTAACAGAATCCTACAATACGGACTCAGTGCTTGGTTTCTAACACTTACCATAATGCTTGGTTTGTAACCAATGCTTGGCTTCTAACACTTACTATAATGCCCCTGTTCCATAGTTGCTCCTTTTTATTACTGACCTCAAGCCTTCACCTCTTCCCCTCCTTCCCTCTCCTTGGAGAGCCTTGTGGAGACAGACCAATCACCCATCTCTACCTGTCTCTCTGAACCAGCCCCCAGGGTACATATCAAAGCCGAGGCCCCAAGTCCTCCAGGGCCTGAGCCCCACCTAGGGGAGATGACTGTGGAGGAAGCCACACCAGACACCTTGCATCTCTCCTGGACCAAGACTGAGGGCGATTTTGACTCCTTCGAGGTCCACTACACAGACCGAGATGGGCAACCCCAAGTAGTCAGGCTAGATGGTGACCGGAATGACGTCATCCTCTCTGGCCTGGAATCTGAGCACAGATACCTAGTGAACCTGTACGGTTTCCATGGCCAGCAGCGAGTGGGTCCTGTCCACATCGAGGCGCTGACAGGTGAGCGAGGAGAACTGCACCGTATCTGCTTCCTCCAGGTGGCTGTGAGAGCCAGAAGAGAGCAAATCCTTATGGTCACCCTGCCCCCCCGCCGCCTCAGGTCTTAGTCTCTCTCACATCTCTGTTCAGTCCCAAGGGAAGAGGAGGATGGACCTTCAGAGCCTCCCACCAAGCCCCGCCTGGGGGAGCTGACCGTGACCGACGCCACTCCCGACTCCCTGCACCTCTCCTGGACTGTCCCCGAGGGCCAGTT